CTGTCAGTGATCGTAACGAAACCAGTGACGATGACTCTGTCGACGAACAGGAGACAAACATGCCGACGGCGTCGGAGGCATTAGATGCGGTGGACGTACTGCGCCGCTACTTCGGCGCTCACGAGGGCGGCGAAGATAACTTGAACATTGCGGCCGCAGCTGAGCGAGCCATCGTTCGCATCAGGAAGATGCATCAACGTCCAATTATGGACTTCTTTGCAGCTAAGTCTGCCTGAAATGCAAGCTGTGTATTTTGAAGTGCATTAAAACAGGTGCATGACTTTTTCCTTTTTATTTGGGAATGCGGTTATTTTGTTGCATACCACCGTGCGGCGGGATGCTATTTCGCCCGCTATTTTTTTGGGGGGGGGGGGTAAGTACAGTGCATAATATTTGCGGTAAATGCCCGCTGCGGCTATAACGAAATATTGATTATAACGAGCAAATAGCGGCGGCCCTCCAATTTCGTTATAACGAGGTTTAACTGTGTATGGGGCTGGCTTTGAGTCCCCGCCCTTCCCCCATGCAAACGCCTATGACCAAGTAACGATTTGTATTTCTTTAGGTGCACCATCATAAATACAGTGGCACAGCAAATCTTGCCTAAACTACCCACCACGAAGCTATCACTTTCTTTTTGCCAATGTTCAGATACGACTCGCATTCTCGCACGTCCGTCCCATGGCACGCGGTGGCGACACCAAAGAGAATTTCGAAACTACTGCAGAGTCCGGGATACGCAGCCAACACAGTGACTGACATAGCGACAAAAATGGACATATTCAGCTGCCCGCGATAAATATCTGCCATGACCTGCTGCTTAAAACTGGCACAGTCTTTTAGAGATGCAGTACGGCCACAGGGAGCCGACCGTCTACTGGCTAATGAGCCGAGCCGCTTGTGCCCACTCTGCTTCAGACTGTGCACAGACGTGGTGAGAGGCCTCTTGCATTAACATGACGATGCAAGCTTTTTGCAAGAGATGCTCTGGCGGTCCTGGCAGTGGACGGAGGTGCGTTGGAGTTGTCACCTCATGAAAGGGTGTGCTACACTTGCTGTCTAGGTCCTCGCAATCCCCAACACTCAACTCCGCAAATGATTGATTGATATGTGAGGTTTAACGTCCCAAAACCACTATATGATTATGAGAGACGCCGTAGTGGAGGGCTCCGGCAATTTAGATCACCTGGGGTTCTTTAACGTGCACCCAAATCTGAGCACACGGGCCTACAACATTTCCGCCTCCATCGGAAATACAGCCGCCGCAGCCGGGATTCGAACCCGCGCCCTGCGGGTCAGCAGCCGAGTACCTTAGCCACTAGACTACCGCGGCGGGGCCTCAACTCCGCAAAAGCAAGCTGCTTTTGTTTCTGCAAAGCTGTGCACACTGAAAACGGTCCCTCATGATAGAGGCGGCAGCGATCAGCGCTCTCAGGTAGCTGCCGGCTATTAAAAGCGTGCAGTAGGCTTACAGCGGCGTTATGTCACACACGTAGGCTTTTTGTCAACGATAAGTCATACTGGTGCACTTTTGAGTAGCCGCCACATCGCTTTCATTTTTCGCCGATGTTTACCAGAAAAGGCACCGCCACAATCGCGCAGAAATCAGAAGAATTGATCGGCCAATTCCATGCTTTTGCAGCAGCACAAGTACAAGATGGTGACCATTAGGCAATATCCGCTCACCATGCATGCTGTCAGCCTTACTTTCAGTTCCAAAACCACCCTGCGGTGCAGTAATGGCACAAATTGGACAAAAAAAGACCCTTTTAGCACCAATGGCACAGGTTTCCCACCACCGCAAGCAGTATTTTGCAAGCTTCATCAAGCTACCGTAGCAAAAACCTTTGTCAGGCTGCTTTTAAGCTTGTTTTTCAACATGAGATTGCTAATGTTGGCGTGGGTGGCTGCCAAGTTGCAAAAGACAGCAACAAACGTCTGCCTTCCAAGTTTTCGCAGTCTTGGAGGCAAATTAATGGAAAAGTAGATGTGCATGTTCAAGTAGTGCCCTGAAATCATCATCATCAGCCTGACTACGTCCACTACAGGACAAAGGCTTCTCCCATGTTCCGCCAGCTAACCCGGACTTGTGCTTGCTGCTGCCAATTTATACCCGCAAACTTCTTAATGTCATCTGCCCACCTAACCTTCTGTCTCCCCCTAACCGGCTTGCCTTCTCTGAGAATCCAGTTAGTTACCCTTAATGACCAGCGTCTTGCGCTTGCGTCCTACTTGCGCAGGCGCCCCTGCGGGGGACAATTTGAGAGTGCTTGCCAAATGTGCTCCACCCCATTCGTATTCTTCTAGTTACTTCAATCTCATGGTTCGGTTCCGCGGTTATTAGCTGCCCAGAGTAGACATAGTCTTTTATAACTTGAAGTGCACTATTACCTATCTCGAAGTGATGCTCTTTTTTGAGGTTGTTGTACATTACTTTCATTTTTTTCAGATTAATTTTAAGACCCACCTTTCTGCTCTCCTTGTCTAACTCCGTAATCATGAGTTGCGATTCGTCCCGAGTTACTCAGCAATGCAATGTCGATAGCTCACTTCAATGCCGACTCTTTGCCAACATTTATGGCACACATCATTAGAGAAGATATGACACTAATGAGTGAATTTCATAGCTTAGTGCCTGTCAATACTCACACTCATCTTAACCTCCTGGCTTCCCTCTCAGACTCGAGCAGGGTAAGGATGTCGCCTTCACGAACTGGGCCCTTGACGTTACGGATGATGGATCGGTTGGACTCGTCCAGGAACTCCACACGGACCTGCACAAACGCCCTTGATCAGTTCCGGTGAGGTCCCACAAAGTTGTATGCAGCAAGTGTGCAACTGTAGACCACCGTTTAGGGATGGTTGTTCTATATCGTCCATCATTGTAGATGGTGGAACCTTTTATTAACTATTGATACCAAAGAGCCCTCTTATGATCAAGTGGGGAAGGGGGGGGAGGGGGCAAGCAAAGCTTTGAGTGAGGCATGTCGCGCTTTGACGTTGTGCCTGACGAACTTCTTTTCGTTTAGTGGCCACCCCTGGCATGCAGTTTTCAGGCTGATTCAGCCTGGCACCTTTCAGGTTTGTTGCAATGTTCATCAGCCTCTAGAATAACCCAATGAAACCACGACATCCGATAATAGAAACACTGGTTGAGACTACCATTTTCTCGAACCCATAACTTTCCCGAAATGTGCTAGTCCCGATATCAACCTCCCGCACTGTCCACAAGCAAGCTTTTAGTACACCAACAAGAAATATTGCAATGAAGCGCTCACAGCAAGTGTATTGCTAGCTTTTTTTTTTTTTTTGCATCGTCAGTCGAAAGCGTACACTGCTGCAGTTGAGTTCTCATTGGACAAGCATGACCTTGGTATTCAAGGCACTTAATACTTCAAGGTGCACAAGTAAAATGAAATGAACTAACGAGCCCCCATGCAAAGCCACTCATTAGTTAATCTGTACAGAGCAACTGATGAAGATTGAGATACTTTATAGTCAATGAGATAGCGTGCTCACACATTTGCTTTTTCACGTGGTGGTTCTTTCATTTTTTAGCCACCCTTAGCATAAATGTTTTGTTACCTAAAATAGTGAATTATTAGCAACTAGCCCACTTAAATTGAAGCTAAAAATATTTGCACTTCCCGTGTTTATGCTTAGCGAGTTGGTACTAGTACTTTCATCATTGCTCCCTGGTTTTTTTAATTATCTCGCAAATGAAGCACTTCAGGGTCGCGTAACAATACTTGCGACGATGAATCAGGATTTGTACTGTTTACGCGTACAAATTTTCGGTTATCCCAAGTATAACAAGCATTTAAAGAGCTGTTAATATCAACGAAACTGCCAAGCAAAACGAACAATTAAGCGACACCTGTTCTTGTTCCTGAACTTGTGCGTTAGTCATACTTGAAATTGGCAGGCAATTACGCGTGCTATATTTTTAGGGCTTTCTTCAGGGCCAAGTTCGACGTCAGGCATTCTATTGCTACATATAACGCTGCCGTCCAAAGAAAGTAATGTATGACACAGGTGTATTCGTTTACTGATCTCGCAACAGGCGAGTCCACGTTGGGAATACCTCGAGGATAAAGAGGTGTTGGGTCAACAATGTTCCGGAACTCGAAGCTCGGCTTCGCGAATACACAAAGAATATTAACATCGTACGGGAGACCCAGCAATATCAGGTTTTCAGGCTGGCAAGCTTTCGCCATGACTTTCAACGAGCGCATTTGTGGGTGATCCAGTATACACAACGCAACATGCTGACGAAACGCCACGCTCCACGCAAGTCTCCCGAAATTTACGACAACTTACCTGGGTACACTGTCCCTGGGATCCGGTGCGGCCCAAAACCTTGGTCACCTGCAAATGCAACGGAAAAACAAACCCGTCACAACAGTGCACGAGGCACCCGGCACGCTTAAGCCTAACCGCTTCCCTTCGAGACAAGAACGTAGAGAAACATTTCGGCACGAACTGTGCGCACGGTAACGTTCCAAGCCACAAAACTGAGCCGTCGACCACGACTTTATTGCATTAGGACACGAATGAAACGAAAAGAAACGTGTATTTGTACTCACACGTGCCAATTTGACTTTATCCATGCTGATGGCTGGCAAGCGAAAGGAAGAGAGCCTCAGCCGAAGACGCGTCCAATGCTCTAGCCAGCGATAGTTCCAGCCGGCCACCAACAGGAGGCGCTAAATGTGCACTCACAAAAAACATGGCAGTCATGACGTATTAGTTGCTTTTTAACGCATAAAAGCACGGGCTTTAAGATATGTGTTTAAGACTCAGAGATAACTAATGTCTGAAGTGTTATTTAACCACAAACCAGTTAGGTTATTTATTTTTACATAAATTATTTACATAAAGTTATACTAAATTCACAAAACATTTTATTCAAATGTGTTAGGTTAATAAGCTTTTAGTTAGTTAATGCTTCAGCCAACGCCTCGTCGTTGCTTCAATCTACAAGTTTTACTACAATCCAAGTCAAGTTTCCTGACCATCCGAGCCAATCCACCGTGGGCGAAGGAGAGTATTGAAGGACAGCAAAGGCAATGTCAGCACACCGCAGTGTTTCGCCAGCGATTCGCCTAGTTCGAGATTTTCTGCTCGGAGTAAGACGCCACATTTGCTATCTCCGTTAATCCGTAATTAAGCGCGCGAGGTTCGCGCGGAATCGCGCTATATTGGCTGTGAGCGGGTGTCTGCTGCATGCGCCTGGTTTTCGAGAAGTTCGTGTACTTTCGCTTACTCGAACATTGTTTTAATGTTTCTCTTGCAGAGGCATCCGAATGGCCAACTAAGATTCCCGGACGAGATCTCCTCGCGGTAAGATCGCCGTACTGCAGTCGTTATTTTTTGTTGGTGACCTGCTGCTTTAGCTTTTCGTTGACGCAGTGCTGAATTACATCTCCAATCCTGCGACTTTCCCGGAGTAAACATGGTTAATGATTGTTGAAAACGGTTTCTTGTTCGTTAAGGTAAGGACGCCTTCGTACCCGCCTATGCACCAAGAGCAACTACAACCCAGTAAAATTTCACTATACCGCTTAGAAAGTGAGATAGTACAAGGGTGCTCGGTTCGTTCGTGTGTGTGTGTGTGTGTGTGTGTGTGTGTGTGTGTGTGTGTGTGGTGTGTGTGTGTGTGTGTGTGTGTGTGGTGTGTGTGTGTGTGTGTGTGTGTGTGTGTGTGTGTGTGTGTGTGTGAGAGAGAGAGAGAGAAAGAGAGAGAGAGCAGAGACACTCACACATTCGTGGGATATGCACAACATAGCGTTATACAAGCACCGTGAACCTTGCTGCTGTTGTGGTATTATATCTTCGCTAAGTGCCTTATAACGAGCATTTGTATCCAGTCAGGAAACTGTGGTGTTTACCAGTAGAAATACTCTCCCATTTTGTTTTGGCAGTGAAGTAGTCTGCAGTGTTTTTTCGTTTGATGTCGTCTTCATGAGGCGGTCATTTTGAAACGTTTCCTTAGAATTAAGAAAAACAAGATGGCAGCTGTTTACTGAGCCATCAGAAGAGTTATTCAGTACTGGAACACAGACGGCATGAATCAACATATCCTGTCACGCATGTTTCTTTCAAGTTGGAGCATAGTTTGCAAACATGTCTGCCAGTTTCCTATAGTCTGTTCCCGACACCTTGTGTAGAAAAGAAAAAAAAGACAAAAATGCAGGAGAGCACTTATATGAAGAATTTGCGAACACCCACACACAAAAAAAAAGCCGCAATAGCCAGTTCTATCAGTGTTCAAGAAAGTGCCCTGCGTTAGTATGTTACGCAGCTTACAGCCCTTAACGCATGTGCAGTTGAAGCGAAAGCGAGTGCATGAGCAGGGAAATCGTGCACACAAGGAAGTGCCAAGAACTACACAAAGCCACTGTACCATCTTTCATAACGGACATACTACGCGTGGCAAAATTTGTGTACGTGGCATTCCTTGAGGCACCTTTCATTACGACTACGTTCTTGTACCGACACGACATTTGCATTGTTGGTTGTGACCAGGCCAGTAGGCATCCCCCGAGATCGCTCCTGACCATAATTTCCCAGAGATGAGTTCCTGTTTGAAATTACTTGTACACGCAGGCCTGCCCATAAGATGGGTGTCGGTGTGTACTGTGCTTACTGAAATTGCAATATAAACAAACTCAATGTCTTCTTTTTGAGCATAAAGGGGAAGCTTTTTATCGTTGATGGCCCTGACAACGCAACATCGTCACAGTTGTCTGTGGTCAGGCACAGCTTGGCAAGTTCTTTTGTAATTTCTTTCACGCATTCATAATCTTGCTGCATTATGCACCATGTATAAAAAGTAAGTAAACTTTTTTTTCACTTGAGCAGTGCTTTCTTCAGTTTTGGGCCAGATCGAATAGAAGGTGGTTTAAGGTTTTGGCTAGCAAAGGGTTAAAAAGTCTCACAATTGTAACAAATAGTATTTTCTCGGGCTTGTTGCTTCCTTCTCTGAAGGTCTCCACCTCCTCCAAATCTGCCACCTGGTCCGGCATGCAAGCTCTCCGGCAACTACTACTACACCAGGGACGCTAGGAGGGAGGTTGATTACCCAAAACTCCTTTTTGACGGCACTAAACCGATGGAGAAAATCGAAGCGGGAGAAGGAGCCAAAGGGTAATGCATCAGTGTTGGATCATTTTTACCGTGGTATGTGTCGTATCCTCCCGAGGCCCAGAGTGAATTTAAGGTCATGAATTTTCGTTAATTTCCAGAAATCATTCTTGTGAGAGCAAAGGTGAAAAGTACCACATCAGTTTTCTGTATCTTATGTTACTGTGCCAAAGCAAGTTGCTCATTGTATTATCACAATAAATAGCTGGCACTATGAGAAAGGAGAACGACTCAGATGCAACTATCGAGCATTAGGACTCTAACGGAGCTTTTGTGAGACCAGGGGCTATGGGGCATCCTGAATAGACTCAAACTTCGTTACAACGAAGTTGCATCTTGCACTGAAAATAACTTTGTTTTGTCCGAAAATAATTATAAAAGGTATGTTCTCTACACTATATCTAGTTGCAAGACTAATATTCATTTACTTTGTTATAGCTGATTGTATTTTGTTACATCTGGTTTGGTTATATCAAGGTTTGCGTAAGTGTTTCTTAGTTTTGTATGCGTTCGTACATGCAAGAATTCGTACTAAAACTATACCTACTTTCTTTGCGATAGCCGCAAAAGACGCTCAGGCTTGATCCCTCCATTTTCAACACTCCTGTGAAGGTAGGAAACGTAGCAACTTCAATAATATTCGCTTAATGGCACTACGAGTCCAAAGGCCATAAAAGTGCTTCCAATGAGGAGCTAAGCATTTTAAAGCTTTAAAAGCTATCACGGACTATGTTCCGTTGCTGGACAAATTTCCCATTGCTGGATTTCAAGCGATGCACATCACAGCGGCAAAATAGTTATAGTGTTCAGTTTCTCACATGAAAGACGCGAGTTTGATTCCAGTCGTGGCGGTCGTAATTTAATGCCGGCAACAGTGCTAGAGGCTGCTGTACTTAGATTTAAGAGCACGTTAAATAACCCCGGTTGTTCCGAAAGCTCTTCATTGTGGGGTGCCTTGTTATCATATAATGCTTTCGGCCCATTCCTTTTCCTCTATTTAAATTATTATGTGTTATCCTCAGAATGTGAGGACCAGCTGAAGTGGTGCAGCAGCTGTGGGGCACAACAAGGTCATCTAGAAGTTGCAGAATCGAACCTCAGCCACCGTGGTTGGATTTCAATAGAGAAAAAAATGCTAGAAGTTCATGTACTTGATTTAGAGTGTAGAAATTTCTGGAGCCATCTGCAACACTGTCCCTTATAATTTTATTGTGATTTTGGTACACAATACCCCGCTATTATCATCATCATCTGATTTGTGGGGCAGGAAGTGAGGAGTGGGTTTTGTCACCCATATGTAGGTAAAGTTTATTATATATATATATATATATATATATATATATATATATATATATATATATATATATAGATATATAATATATATATATATATATATATATATATAATATATTTGATGGCCGTCAACTTTCCTGGCTCACTGTAACCTCTGTCTTTCTTGGTGCCCATATGTAGTTGTGAGACTGTATGCTAGTTTATTCTAGGTCAGTGCTGGAGCAGAAGTGGAAGCATTTACAGTGATGACACCAATGGTCAGACTTAGTGGAGGAGCTGAACGATCATAGTATGTGCAAAAATCTATTGAAGCCCAGAAAAGACATAAGATCTCTGTTCCCCTCACTTCATTGGTTAATATCTTTAGGTAATATGACAGCCATACTATTAAAGCAACATATATGCCAAAGCATGGCAAGCACCGTCAAGGGAGGGGGGGGGGGGGGGGGAGCAAGAGAGCATTAGGTGGAGAAGTGATGGTAGAAAAGTATTTGAGGTGCCCTATAAAGTTTTCTAACGTGGGACCAATGTGGCAAAAGAATTACTGATGTAAGCCACTTAAAGCCATTTGACTATGATTACGTACCAAAAGAAGTAATGCAACTTCTGTAGTATTACAAAAAATATTGGCGTTTGCTTATTAGGCTAGGATATGTTATTTTCCTTCTTTGCAGTAAGCCCAAGCTTCCAGAACCTGGCATCCGATACCTGCCTTGAAGAGAGACCAAGCTCATCTGTACCTACTGCCTCTGTAGATATAATTAGGACAATAAAAAAGTTGTTTCTAAATTCATATTTGCATGATAGCTTAGAGAAAACTGTTTGCTTACTCTCGAATTAGTATAAATTGATTTTTTTTTTATTCTGCCTCAATATTGTAGCCAAAAAAAGCTGTGTCTCGAGAGCAAATGTTCTGAAAAAAGGACTTGTCAGTCTTTATAAGAAAGTTTGCCTTCATTGGAATTTTACTAGAACCATGTTTTTTATTGTTTGGTTTTCATAGACCCCACAAAGTATAGATCTGCCAGCAACCGTAATCTTGAGCGCATTGTCATCTAATTAACAAAAGCAGGCTAGTTAGATTCAATAAAAAAGCGTTCAGTCACGTGCAAATTCTTTGCTATTATGCAAATTATGTGTTTTTTGGGTCATTGAACACACTTTGGGTATGAAAGATAAAACTCGCTAGCAGTTGTTAAAATTTGTTCTATCAACTGAGTGTTCTATCTAGTAGTACAGTACACTTTCATTGGCAAGTTTTCCACGTGATAACAGCTGGTCTTGCACTTGTGTCCAGAACCTACACTGTTGTCTTGGATCGCTCGCCGAATTCTAGCTCGACATAGTTTGTGGAGAGATCATCGGTGAGTGCAACACATTATCGCCGACTTTTTGGCTGCTGGTCTGTTGGACACCATTACTAACTAGCGAGATCATCTTGACAGGAATGGGCTGGGTGACAATCCATGCAGTTGTGTAAGTTGGCTTGTGCAGGATCTATAAGAACTCATTTACACCCTTATTTTACACCGTATCCGTGGTGGGGCCCAAAAAGTATTTTTTTCCTACCTTCCCCTATGCCCCTTTCCCCAAGCAGCTGTTGCTATGGGAGAGGGCGTTGGACAGATCCCGACAGACGCCAGACATAGCCCGACTAAGAAACGCATTCGCATTTAAAAATCGCGTGGGGAGAGGGGGGGGGGAGGCAGGAGCTCAGTGTGCCATCCTCTGGCTATGCCACTGGTCTTATGGTGCTGCACTTCTCATCCCCAATAAGGTCGTAGGTTCGATTCCTGCTCACGGTGGTTATTTTTTCATCCACTTTCTTTCTTCTTTCTTCTTATTTACATTCCATTGGTTCTAATAATTTCCCCTGTACATTCCTTGGCATTACTGTCTGTTAGATCTCATTAATATTGTGTTAAACACGGAAAAAACGAGCCCTTAGGTATATACTTCTTTCCCTTATATATATATATATATATATATATATATATATATATATATTGATGGCCGTCAACTTGCTTGGCTCACTGTAACCTCTGTCTTTTTTGGCGCCCATATGTAGTTGTGAGACTGTAGTGCTAGCTTATTCTAAGTCAGTGCTGGAGCAGAAGTGGGAGCATTTACAGTGATGACACCAATGGTCAGACTTAGTGGAGGAGCTGAACAAATCATAGTATGTGCAAAAATCTATTGAAGCCCAGAAAAGACATAAGATCGCTGTTCTCCTCACTTCATTGGTTAATATGTGTAGGTAATATGACAGCCATACTATTAAAGCAACAACATAAATGCCAAAGGATGGCAAGCACCATCAAGGGGGGGGGGGGGGGGGAGCAAGAGAGTATTAGGTGGAGTAATGATGGTAGAAAAGTATTTGAGGTGCTCTATAAAGTTTTCCAATGCGGGACCAATGTGGCAAGCAAGAATCACTGATGCAAGCCACTTAAAGCCATTTGACTATGATTACGTACCAAGAGAAGGAATGCAACTTGTGTAGTGTTACAAAAAATATTGACGTTTGCTTATTAGGCAAGGATATGTTATTTTCCTTCTTTGCAGTAAGCCCAAGCTTCCAGAACCTGGCATCCGATACCTGCCTTGAAGAGGGACCAAGCTCATCTGCACCTACTGCTTCTGTAGATATAATTAGGACAATAAAAAAGTTCTTTCTAAATTCATATTTGCATGATAGCTTATAGAAAACTGTTTGCTTACTCTCAAATTAGCATAAATTGATTTTTTTTCATTCTGCCTCAATATTGTAGCCAAAAAAAGTTGTGTCTCGAGAGCGAATGTTTTGAAAAAGGGTCTTGTCAGTCTTTGTTGCCTTCACTGAAATCTTACTTGGACCATGTTTTTTATTGTTTGGATTTCATAGACCCCACAAAGTATACATCTGCCAGCAACCGTAATCTTGAATGCATTGTCATCTAATTAACAAAAGCAGGCTAGTTAGATTCAATAAAAAGCTTCCAGTCACGTGCAAATTCCTTGCTGTTATGCAAATTATGTGTTTTTTGAGTCATTGAACACACTTTGAGTATGAAAGATAAAACTCGCTAGCAGTTGTCAAAATTTGTTCTATCAAGTGAGTGTTCTATCGAGTAGTACAGTACTCTTTCGTTGGCCAATTTTCCATGTGATAGCAGCAGGTCTTGCACTTGTCGTGTGCAGAACCTACACTGTTGTCTTGGATCGTCCGCTAAATTCTAGCTCGACATAGTTTGTGGAGAGATCATCGGTGAGTGCAACACATTATCAATGACTTTTTGGCTGCTGGTCTGTTGGACACCATTACTAGCGAGATCATCTTGACAGGAATGGGCTGGGTGACATAGGTGGGCTGGGTGACATGGGTGACAGGTCATGGGTTGGGTGAAAATCCATGCAGTTGTGTAAGTTGACTTGTGCAGGATCTAGAACTCATTTACACCCTTATTTTACACTGTATCCATGGTGGGGCCCAAAAAGTATTTTTTCCTACCTTCCCCTATGCCCCTTCCCCCAAGCAGCTGTTGCTGTGGGAGTGGGCGTTGGACAGATCCCGACGGACGCCAAACGTAGCCCGACTATTCGCATTTAAAAATCGCGTGGGGAGAGGGGGGGGGGGAGGCAGGGGCTCAGTGTGCCATCCTCTGGCTATGCCACAGCGCTTATGGTGCTGCACTTCTCATCCCCAAAAAGGGGCATAGGCAGAAATTATATCTTGGGGGGGGAGGGGCATCTTTTTGAATTGATAATTTTTCGCTCGATCTGTATGCCATGGCGAAACATCTCTGAAGGGGGCGGTGCATGGGTCCGGAATGCCACATCCTGGATAAAGGCATGGCCCGCAACTTGCGGAATCGTATTCCGGCCGCGGTGACCGCATTTTCGATAGAATCGAAAATTCTTGAGGCTGGAGTGTACTTGCGTTTAGGCGCAATGCGCCAACAACTTCAGGTGGTCGAAATTTGCGAAGCCCTCCACTACGGCGTCCCTTTGTAGTCATCATATCGGGGTCTTGGGGCGTCAAAGCCTAACTATTATTATTATTAGTAGTAGTAGTGGTAGTAGTAGTAGTATACTGACCGCTATGATGCGTGTCACCCATGATAGAAAGCGTTGGGTGGTGTGTCCTTGGACATTACACGGCGAATATCACGCGACGCCAGAAATGCGCCTTTGTGCGCGTCTGAATGACCGATATATTGTAGCAAAAAGCACACGCACGTGCACACTTTCAGATTCTTGAGGTTTAAGTGAGGCCATTTGCCCTCATACTGTCCTTGTAGGCGTTTGTTATAGGCCCCCGAACAGTGACCCAGATTTCGCATATAAGCTCAACAACAACCTGAGTGACCTTGGGAAACAGTATCCGCAAGCAGAGATACTGCTTTTCGGCGATTTTAATTTCCCTCAAATAGATTGGAGTAGTAGCGTCCCGTCAGCTGTGGGCAGTGAGCCCGCAAGGGACTTCATAGATTTCTGCCTGAATTGCAATCTAACCCAACTTGTATCCCAACCAACGCGCGTTACAGAGAGCAATTCCAGCATCTTAGATCTAATACTAACTAGTCATCAAGAGAGCTTATCATCAATTACATATCTGCGTGCCGTCAGTGACCACAAGGTAATCCATGCGGCCTTTGCGTTTCGACCTGTAATACGCGATCTTGTCACCAAAACAATCCGTCTTTACGACAAGGGCAATTATAGTGCCATCAATAATGAATTGATATCTTTTCTTCCTGATTTCGAGAGAATAAGCCATACACGCTCTGTGGATGAGAATTGGATTATATTTAGAGATAAGTTAGCCACTCTTGTCGAGAAATTTATCCCAAAAATAACGTTTACCGCAAACCGAAACAAGCCATGGTTTTCACGTTCACTTCACAAACTAAGAAACAAGAAAAAACGCCTCTTCCGATCAGCCAAACAGTCTAAACTTCTGTCCTTATGGGAAAAATATTACGCCGCGGAAGATGATTATCTTAGAACCATTCGAAACGCCAAGCACGTGTTCTTTCATGAAGAGCTGCCCAAAATGCTTACAACCAGCCCTCGCAAATTCTGGGAGGTGATAAACCCTCAGGAGATGCGCACCGCTAGTCTTTCAAATGCGCATGGCGATATAGTCGACAACAATGAATGCGCGAACCTTTTTAACGAGGCCTTTTTCTCTGTTTTTACGAATGAGAGTTCAGTTCCCGATTTTTCTTCACCTGCGCGCAGCACCGAGTCTATGCCCCCGATTGCATTTTCTACGGACGGCATCATTTCGATTATAGAAAAGATTAAGCTTTCTTCTTCTGCAGGTGTGGATGACATTAATTCAAAACTTCTCATAAATGTTAAACATGTGGTTGCCGCATACCTTACATTGTTATTTTCGCAGTCATTATCATCAAGCATTCTGCCAGCAGACTGGAAAGTAGGCAAGGTCGTTCCAGTCTACAAATCAGGTAACAGAGATTCTCCACTAAATTACCGTCCCATATCCTTAACAAGTATCCCCTGCAAAATCATGGAACATGTCATCTACTCCCATATCATCAACTTCTTGGACTCAATGCACTTTTTTCATCCTTCTCAACACGGGTTCCGAAGGGGTTATTCTTGTGAAACGCAGCTGGCCATTTTCATTCACGACTTACATTCTAACCTTGACTGCAACATTCAGACCGATGCTCTTTTCCTGGATTTCGCCAAAGCATTTGACACTGTCCCTCACAAACGCCTAATTCTTAAATTATCTCTGTTAAATCTAGATCCTAATGTACTTGCATGGATAACATCTTTCCTGACTAATCGTTCCCAATTTGTGTTTGTTAATAATCACTCATCTAACCGACTACCTGTAACCTCAGGTGTCCCGCAAGGGTCTGTCTTAGGGCCTCTACTCTTTTTAATTTACATTAACGACCTACCATTGCATGTATCATGTAACTTTCGTATGTTTGCCGATGACTGCGTAATCTACCGATCAGTAACCAACATTCATGACCAAACACTAATTCAGCATGATCTTAACAACATACAAACATGGTGTGATCGTTGGTTAATGAACTTAAATCCTAATAAATGTAAGCTTGTTTCTTTTTCTCGCCACCGTAACCCTTTTGAGTTTACCTATTCCATCACTAATGTTCCCATACAATCAGTTCAATCATTCAAATACCTCGGCATCACCTTGGCTCATGACCTGTCTTGGCGTCATCACACTACTAACATCATCTCGTCTGCTAATAAATCACTCGGGTTTCTCAGACGACACTTACGCCATACTCCGCCTCACGTCAAGACGCTTGCATACAAATCATTTATCAGGTCCAAACTCGAGTATGCATCTTCCATCTGGAGCCCTCATCAATCATACATCATAAGTGAACTCGAATCACTTCAAAATCGGGCTACCAGGTTCATTCATTCTGCATATTCGTACGATATCAGCATCTCATCTCTAAAGGCGGAATCAGGTCTAGAAACCCTTGTTTCACGCCGACGGTGTGCCACCCTCTCTCTTTTTCATATGTTTTATTTCAGTTCACTGAATCATCCACCGTACATCACGCCCCCTCCGCACATATCCCATCGCACTGGTCATCCGTTACAAGTCGCATTACCACGTACCCGGACCACTGTATTCCAAGCCTCCTTTTTCGTAAGAGCAGCAAAAGACTGGAATGGCCTTCCTCACGCCATCTGTGCCATCACTAACCCATCTATGTTTGCAGAAGCCATTAAAAACACCGTTGTATAGTTCTCTTTTTTTTTTTTGTTATGCACCACCCCTTATGTAATACCCCTACAGGGGGTCTTTAAGGAAATAAAAGTGAAGTGAAGTGAAGTGAATTTGAGAGATGAGGGGAAGGGGGGGCAGATTAGATTTTTCGACTTTTTCTTTTTTTAAGTAGCATGCGCGAGGCGTATTTGAGCTGAAAGTAGAAGCATCATTCCGCGCCAAACATCCCAGCCATCTTGGCGACCATCTCGAATGTATTAAAAAAAATATGTGCTGATTTACTGCATTGAAACTGCTAAAATATTTAAGAGAGAGAAAAAAAATTGGTCGCGTGGCTGCCTTATGAATTTCCTGAAATGTCGTCCGCGTGTTGTTTGTGGATAGATTTATTTGAAAAGTACCGGTCATTCTTTGTGTACCAAATTTGGTGTACATGTTAAGTAAAGGTCCCCTGTGTAAGGTGCTAAGAGCTCAGTAATATCAGATCAATTTTACTGGCAAATACACCTCCAAAAATTTAGCCACAATGTGTTAAGTTTGGATTTTTTCTATTGCAATACTGCACTTTGTGCAATATTTGTGCAGCAGTAAATACTTATTCCATAAAAGCTATATTTTAAGAAAAAAAAATTTTAGTCCTCTCAAGCTCTTAAACGCTACGAGGAAAAATCACGAATTTCTCAAAATCGTCATTTTTATCCATATTGAGACGCGATTTTCACCATGTCGTCGTCTAATTTAAAATCACCTTTATACCCATATCAAACGCAAATAAACAGTTCTTGCTATATGGCGAATTTTATCAATACAACTTTTGTTTTAAGAAAATAATTTTTGAGGGTTCCCATGGGCGGCTATCTTCCCATTTGGTCGTACGACAGCTGCCGCCTTGAAATTCCCCATTGCCGTCAAAGAGGAAGTTCAAAAGTTATTTTCTTCTTTGAAACAAAA